ATTTATTATTGGATGAAAAAGTAATTTATAATAATATATTAAAATATTCTATTTGCAAACAAAAACAAATATAAATATTATACCACAACATTAATTTGGTGCCTTATATGTCATGGGCCAAATCCTCTTAGTCGAATGCTTCAACTTGAAGGAATCAAATTCAACACAACCAATAGTCTTCCGTCTCTTATGCAACCGAATGTATGATACTTCATCAATCATAAACACTGTATCCCAAGAAAACTCATTTACATAATCATATTTAAATAGAAACACAATTTTGAGACTAGCTTTGTGGGATGATATAGCCGCAAATTTTAGAAGACAATTTTGTGTGGAAAAACTCTAACCGATCACAATTATCGCCACAAGCATAAATTCAAACGTTTACAAAGGTTAGCCCATATCATTTTGAATGTTAAGCATAATAAACATATTCCTTAACGATTATAAATAAAATCTTTTGCAGGAACTCTTCGGTTAGATTCAACATCAGCTACGTGGATTTTTCCAAAAAAGAAACCTCAGAGATAAATCAAACCCAAAAAAAATTGTAAAACATTTATCTACAAAATATAATATGCAACAGTTATTACCATTTCTCTTCACTATGTAATTCTATTTTTAATTCCAATTATTTTCCTTTTTTATTATTAATCTCAAATTGAACCACAATTTCTTCCCTGTTTACAAATTCATCCAATAATTTACTTGGCCAATACATTCATAAAATATTCTTTCATATTAAATAAATTTTATTTGCTTTCTACTTTTAGAGATTAAAATATTTTAATATTCATAACTATCCATAAAACTGACGGTTAATTATATTAATTTAATGGCAATATTAATAATTTTAAAAAGCATATAAATAACTGATGGTCACATGTCCAACAGAATTATTTAGTAATTAGTAAAATCAAAACAGAAACGGTTTGGAGATAATTAGTCTGAACCGATATAATCAAATGCAAATTAAAATCATTCATAAAAAAACAATTCAATTCATGGTCATATATATCAATAAAATGTGAACATTAATAATCTTAAAAGCATATAAAAACGACAAGAATTCAAATGCTCTATTATCTAAACATTAAACTGCAAATTAAATATAAAAAATAATGACAATTAAATACTATCCAGACAACAACAAAAAACACATATAAATAGCAACAACTCTACGTCAATCTAATTACAAATTTAATGAATTATTCTAGTGATGACACATAAGCAAAATGACATCATTGTTAATAACTTATAAAATTAAGGTTACTTTCAAAAAATGCTTTTCAATTAATATATAAAGGATTAAAGAAAAACTATATAAATCATAACTTCCACAAGCTTTTATAGGATAATTTCTGAAAAATTAAACCTTCAAATTTATTCCTTGAAAATCTTGAATATTAAATGCGAGGATATCCTTGATTTTCTTCATTGACTTAAATTCTTTTATTTAATTTTAATCTCCAATTTCAAAACTTTTCATTTTACAAAATTCATTACTTCCATTTTCAATTTTAATTAGTCATTTCCTACTTTAAATGTTACAAAATCTATACACTAACATGTAACGGAAAATATGATTTCTTTCTCCAACTTAAATTCATTTATCACCTTCTAATCTCCATATTCAAACTTTTCCCTTTATTAAGAAACAACAGACGTCCCCTTTACATCACTCCTAAACTTTTCCCCAAGTTAAAGAACAACTACGTCTACATCATACACATGGCTTCTAATAATTCCAAATCTTTCCCAGCCCCCTGCACATATTCTTCACTTGATGTTGTAGACGAGCAGCTTGAGTCACAAAATATTGTTGATTGTCTAATTCGCACATGGGAAGCCCGGGATTTTAAGCGAAACTATGGATTTGAATGGTATGCAGCTTTTTCACGTTTTCACGTTTTGTAAACTTGATTCTGTTATTTTTTACCATTCATGTTATTCATCACGTTTTCACGTTTTTTTATGTTTTTGAAACGTGATTCCGCTAGCGTGTTAAAAATATAACTAAAAAAAATAAAACGTGATTAATCTACTAAAAGTAGCTTTTCAGCGTTTCACAATTATTCAGCTAAAATATTATTCAGTTCAGTTCATTCCGCTAGTAATTTTTCAGTTATTCCGCTATTCTGTTATTCATCTGACATACCAGTCAGACCCTATGGGTTTGAATGGTATGCAGCTTTTTCACGTTTTCACGTTTTGGAAACTTGATTCTGTTATTTTTTACCATTCATGTTATTCATCACGTTTTCACGTTTTTTTATGTTTTTGAAACGTGATTCCGCTAGCGTGTTAAAAATATAACTAAAAAAAACAAAACGTGATTAATCTACTAAAAGTAGCTTTTCAGCGTTTCACAATTATTCAGCTAAAATATTATTCAGTTCAGTTCATTCCGCTAGTAAATTTTCAGTTATTCCGCTATTCTGTTATTCATCTGACATACAAGTCAGACCCAAAAATTAAAAATTAACAAGTGCTTTTCAAAACTATCCCGCACGTTTTATATTTATAACTAGTTTACACAAAACTTCATTCATCTACTTAAGAGCAACTTTTTGGCATTTCAAAGTAATTAATTTTTTTGTTAATCATTTTTACCCTAAAAGAAATCATAATTTTATTTTTCATTATAATAAATTAATAATTAGTTTTGCCTCCATATATTAGCGCCGGATTACATCCCGCCATCTTTTACTGCCATCTTTCTACTTAAGCTATCAATAACCTAGCTATAGACATATATATATTTGTGATAGATGGAACGCAGTCAACTGAGAAGGTAGTTTTTTTTCGTTTTTGTTTCTATTAGATTTGCTATTATGATGGCATGTGCACCTCAATAGCTACGAATTATGGACTTAGGATTAAGGTAATGAAACACTTAGTTGAATTCAAGCTGTCATATTAACTATTCTCGATCTATGAAACTGCAGATTTCCAATTGCACCATGAGTTCGTCTGATGAGTCAGATTCACAAGTTCGTGGCTTTGGTGATGTAAGTATATTTCTTAACTTGCTCTTTTAAGACATCGAGAATTATTTTATTGCGTTCAAAGTAGTTGATGAAAATCATACTTAGGAATAATAGTTGATAAAAAATTACCAAAAAATCATACTTAGGAAAAAAATTGTTGCAGCTACGATGAGTTTACACAACTTTATACGGCGATCTCAAATTCCAGATCAAGATTTTGAAGAAGCAGATAGATTTGATATCAATGGTCATGAAAATACAGGAAGAAGTGATACTAATGTTCATGAACAAGAAGAGGACGTAAGTATGCAGACCGTTCGTCAACAGATTGCATCTCACTTATGGAATATGCAAGTGAGGAGTTTTTTAGTTTCACAATATTTTCTCAAATTTTTTTTCATTTGTTTTAATTGTTATATTTGATTTGTTTTTGTTCTGTTTGAGATGATTTGAACTTTGATTATTCTTTTTTGAATTTATAGGACATAACTATTTGATAAATTCGTTTAAATTATTTTTTACTTTTACATTTAATGTTTAGTTTGGTAATTTAGTACTATTTATTTTATTATTCAGTTATTCAGCCAAAAACATACAATTCCAACATTCTATCATTGTGAAATTTCATTTTTTGTTATTCAGCTGTTTTATAATTCCGTTCCTATGATTCCGCTATTTTATAATTCAGCTATTCAGCTATTCTGCTATTCAGTTGACATACGAAAACGTGATTAATCTACTAAAAATAGCTTTTCAGCGTTTTACAATTATTCAGCTAAAATATTATTCAGTTCAGTTCATTCTGCTAGTAATTTTTTAGTTATTCCGATATTCTGTTATTCATCTGACATACCAGTCAGACCTATACTTTTTAGCCTTTATTATTTATTATTAGATGAAAAGGTAATTTATAATAATATATTGAAATATTCTATTACAAAAAAACAAATATAAATATTATACCACAACATTATAAACTAATTTGGTGCCCTAGATGTCATGGACCAAATCCTCTTTATCGAAGGCTTCAATTTGAAGGAACTAAATTCAACACAACCAATAGTTGTCCGTCTTTTTATGCAACCGAATGCATTATAATTCATTATTCATAAAAACTGTATTCTAAGAAAACTCATTTACATAATTATATTTAAATAGGAACACAATTGTGAGACTAGCTTTGTGGGATGATATAGCTGCAAATTTTAGAAGACAATTTTGTATGGAAAAACTCCAACCGATCATTATTATTGCTACAAGCATAAACCCAAAGGTTTACAAAGGTTAGACCAAATTTACTACTTGAGAGCACTTTGAATGCTAAGCATAATAAACATATTCCTTAATCTTTTGCAGAAACTCTTAGCTACGCGGATTTTTCCAAAAAAGAAACCTTAGAGAGCTATCATATGTTTATTTATGATAGCACGAAAATTAACGCTATATTAGATGGGGGTCTAAGATAGCTGCGAAGACAGCGTTTTTGGAAACGCTATCATATGCCTATGATAGCGTTTTTGTGGTGCTACCAATGCACATATTTCTTGTACTGTAGTTTATACATAAGCAGTAAATCTTTACCTTTGGAAACCAGAACCGTCATCAATCAACGGTAAAGATCCACAAGAACAACAGCAAGATGCTTAAGAGAGGGGTTACAAAGAGGAAAACTAGAGTTCAAATGGTTCTTGAAAGGGCTCAACTTTGTCTTCAGAAGATAAGAGACGTGAAAGCATCTTTGTGTTGACTTGTTTTTTAACAACTTTTCTTCTTCTTGTCTTGGGTTGAAATGTAAGAAAAATGTTACCGACCAAGAAAATGTTTTGCAAGTGATGGATTAAAATCCTTCTGGATTCTGGAAACTTGGTCTAGTAGTTCAACAAAATACATCAGTCTTTTATTTTCGGTCAATGAGAAATAAAATTTTCAGTTTTGAGTCTCCAAATTTCTTTATTTTGATTATTCTTGGCACAACAAAGACGTTAACATTTATGAAGCAACTACAAATAAAAATGTATGTTCTTTATTAATAATGTCCAAAGTGTGAAACAAAATTGTTTATTCTTTGAAAACCAAAAGTAAAGGAGAGATGATCGTGCCCGTGGGTCGGGGGGAGAACTACGACACTCAACCCCACCATATTGTAATGCAAATTCCGATTAATAATATATGAAAAATAATTTTGAACTAAAAAATGAAATTATAGTCTAAACCTGAATTTGCAGTTACTACTCCTAACCCTAATCACATTGTTAGCAGCCAAGCTATCAACGGATACACCACACCTCACCAAGAATTTTACTTCCATCAGCTTTAATTTCCCGAGTTTGATCCTAACCGGTTGGGTAACTCTAATCCGCAACGGTATAATTCCAGTTAACCGTTGTTGCTCTTCCAATGTCATCATTAAAACTGTTGCATTCTGAGTAAAACCAGTCATTTCTACCAATATAACCGTCGTATTCTCATGTCCCTGGTAGAATTTCGGCAACGACCCTGTAAATATTGTAAAACACGGTTAGTATAATTCGGATTTTGATTTTTTAAAACAAAGGTTTCAAACCATTTTAACGTACCATTGCTAAGTCTGGTTTGCATATACAAGACGCTAATTCTGCTTCCGTCTTCATAGTAAATACCGATCTTCTCATTCGGATTTTTGGCCGTAATGGTGACGTTAAACGCCGTGGACAAGCTTGAATCTTGGTTGAGAGTAAACCGGGTGAGCTGTAACCGGTCGATATTGTAATCCGGTAATTTCGGTCTAAAGACAAGGTAGAGTATACCAACGGCCGCTCCTACGATGACAATAAGGAGAATGAGAACGAGGAGCGTGTAACACACGCTCCTCCACCAACAGCTTCTTCTTTTCTTTATTTTCGGAGGAGGATCCAGTGGTGCTTGACTAAGAGATTCTTTTGTGGGGTCACCGTGTTCCGATCTTGATGAGCCACGTGGAACAAGAGGAGCCGTTGGATTCGTCGGAGGAGGTGGAGCTTCCGGGTCGCTCACCGGATAGATTTTCTGGTGATCGGACATGTTTTACGTTCTTGAATATTGGTTTGATATACGTTTTAAGAATTACTATAGTCTCCAGTTTTCAGAGGTAAATAAAGAGACAAAAATATTAATGGAGAGAAAGGATCATCTTCACGTCTTCTTTTGGTTAATTGTATATATAAGCTGTTACGTGTTTTGTTTAATAGTAGTGTATGAGGAGAAAAGTATGAAAAAGCAACTCTTCCACGGAATAATAAAATATTTAATTTGCATTCAAACGTGTCTTTTTGAATTCAATGTACCCCCTTTTGACCGTAGTCGTGAATGGTTTAATTTGTCGCAATTTTTTGGGGTTAAACGAAGAATAATTAACTTCTTGTCAATTCTGGGTTCCGCGGACGTAAGGATGAAAAAGTTCGTGCATGCTCGACATTACGACGGGTCTAATAAGATATATTTTTAATAAAATAAGTACTTATTTCCAAAAGAAATTATAATGAGCTCATTCATCTCGTCACTATTTCTCTCCTTTTTGTTCTATTTTTAATACTTTTTAATACTATTTCTCTTTGGGATCTTTCTTTTTTTAGACAATCACGTTCTTTTTGAAAGTCCAATACATTTGGTTACTTTTACTTATGAGAAAATTACATTAAAAAACATTTTATGACTTTCTAATTATACAGAAAGACATTTTGTGCAAAAAAGCATTTCACTTATTAAAAAGATAATTGTATATTTTTTTTGTCTTTCTCACTATGGACAATCAAACTCTTATCACGATTTATAATCTACTATAGACATATTACCGTAAACATACCAACATCTATACCTCATTATCTCCGTCTGTTTATATAACACATTTATCATGGACAACTAAAACTCTTATCATGATTTGTAAAAACCACTATAGACATCTATATGGATACACCACAGTGAATATACAAATATCTATACTTTGTTATCTCCGTCTATCCATATGACACACTCACAATTGACAACTAATCTCTTTTTATAATTTGTAAATCATCATGGACATTCATATGTATACATTCTTGTAGACATACCAACATATATACAAGTCCTGCCCAATTATTCAGTAGACTCAGTGCCATTTTATAAATATAACAAACAAAATTTGTAAAAAGAGCTCTAAACTTTTCAAAAAAGCTCCTAAATCTGCCTAAAATGTGCAAAAAAATAAATGGACCTTGTGCAAATACACATTGGGCACATGCCCAGAAGTGGGCCGGCCTGCATATATACTTTGATGTCTCTATATATCCAAACTAGAATTGAGCGACTAGTTTATTAAACATATTTATCTTGTTATATTTACATATTATGACAAACATTTCTCTTATATACACTGTTGGGTTTGGTATGCTATAATTAGAGTTTAGTTTTTTTAAGTTACTTGTAAGAAAAAATCAAACTATCGAACAAATAAAATGAATATTGTTTTTACAACGTTAATAAATTAAAGTTTATTTAAATAAATCAAAGCTTACATAAAAATATAAAAGTTAATATAGTTAAGAAATCAAAGTTTATACAGTATGGTGTATACTATTTAGTTTAAGTTCATCAACCGTTTCTACTGAATTTTCCTAGTAAGGTTTTTAACAAAACACCATAGATGCGGTTTAGAAAATATTTTTATAATGTAAACATCAATGAGGAGTTTTATAAACTATTATGTGATCAATCCATGTTCTAGAATTATTTGTATCTTAGATTTTATTTTGTTTTTAAGTAAAACTTTCTTATTGTCTTCATATATATAACACTTCTTATTCATTAGAATAATTCAACATTAACAAGTAATATTTGCGCTGATTCTTTTTTAGTATTTTATCATAAAATTTTGACTAGAAAACATAACATTATCTAAGTAATAACACTTGATACATAATAAAAAATAAAATGAATAAACAAAATAAATGTAGAAGAATTAACTTAAGAAAAAGTAGAAACAAAAAGAATAATTTTATAAAACAAAACTGAGCAAAATATAAGCACAAATAAAATAAATTGTAAACATAAATAGTAACTAACATGAATAACAAAATAGATAAATGATACTAAAAAGACAAAAAAAAACATTGTATTTTGTAAATAATCGTCTACATGAAAGCAAACTCACTCAATTACGGATCATGACATATCAGATCTAACCGTGCGGAAGATCATGGGCTGGTCTATGACTTGACAGTGCAAGACTACTTGGACTTTCTTTGCGACGCTGGGTACAACCAAACAATGATTGAGCTTTCCTTAGAGAGTCAATCGTACAAATACCTTACGGAAGCAAGTGTGGGAGACTTGAACTATCCATCAATCATGGTGCCTAATTTCACAGGTGCCATGACTGTAACCCGGAAACTGACGAATGTAGGATTCGTAGGCACTTATACAATAATAGTCTGGGAGCCATATTGTCTTGTGAGAGTTGAGCCAAGTGTGTTGGAGTTTGAGAGAGTTGGTCAAGTTAAAAGCTTTAAGATGACATTGAAACCCAAATCGGCTACAAAAGGATATACATTTGGAGGTCTCACATGGAGTGATGGCAAACATTATGTTAGAAGCCCTATTGTTGTCTTTACCTCTAGAACAATATAATTTTGAATGTGAAAATAGTATAAAAAAAACTAACAAATAATCATAACAATTGAATTTGTAGATCTCTTGATCCAAAAATTCTTGAAATCAATTTATCTTGTTAACATATGGAGATGATAAATTCTTTCACATTCTAATGTTTGTTTCATATTATAGTTTAGTTTTTTTTTAATTAATATTAGTTACAGTATTATTTACTAACACGATATCCCAGCTATATTTGTCTTCTGAATCTTAAAAGTTCTTAGGATTAAAAAATTAAAAAATAATAAATAATAGGTTAAAGCATCAGTTCTTATTTAAAAAGTTTTAGGATTGTTAAGAACCGAGTAGGTGTCTGTTTCTGGTTGGCTAGGCTAATTTTAACAAAACCAATTTTTTTTTCCCCTGTATCCGACTCTCTCTTCCTTCCGAGACCAACAAGGCAATTTCTTTTGCCTAATCCGATTCTTCGCAACCGCAAGCCGAAAAAGATGATGATAAGATCGAAATCAACAAGAAAACGAAGAAAAATTCGAGTACGACTATAGGTTATAATATAAGAGACTATTCTTTTCTGGAGAGACGAAAATAAGAACACCGAGAGATAAGCAGAGCGAGTGAGTGAAGTAATGAGTTTGAAAGGGATTCTAGGTTTCGAATACGGAATAGTTCAGGCGCCGCTAGGACTAGATATCTCTGGTCCAGAGCTCGTAGCCGCCATCACTAATGTCGGAGGGATCGGTCTTGTCAGATGTCCTGATTGGGTAGTCGCAACTCTCTATTACTTTCTTGAGTGTGGTTTTTCAATCATTTAACAGTTTTTGTTTTGTTCATCGTTGAGTGAGATTAATCCGGAAATTTCAGAGGTGATTTAATGTATTTGATTATGTGAATCAATTAGGACAGTCCTGATTACCCGAGAGAGATGATAAGGAAGACGAAGAGATTGACAGACAAACCATTTGGGATCGGCGTTGTTCTTGCATTTCCTCATGAGGTGAACATAAAGGCCATCTTAGAAGAGAAGGTTGCCGTGTTGCAGCTTTGTTAGGGTGAATGTTCAAAGGAGCTTGTGGATGATGCTCACCGTGTCAGTTGTTCAACATGTCTTTATTTCACCAAACAAAGATTCATAGCCAAGTTTATAAAGAGTTTGGTTTCTTGATCCTTAGGTATCTATCTATTACCACAAGAAAATTATCTTATTTATTAGTTAAATTTAAAGGTGGGGAACGTAGAAGAAGCTAGAAAGGTCGTTGCTGTAGGAGTAGACGTAATTATTGTCCAAGGGCATGTAGTAAGAGGGCATGTAATTGGGAAGGTAAGCCCCAATTGTTACTTGTGTTGTATAATCTTTATCTTATACCATTTGATAAACCATCATGTCTCTTATTTTCTTCTTTCCAGGATGCTCTGTTTTCATTGTTGCCAAGAGTTGTTGATATGGTTGGGGAATGTGATATTCCGGTTATCGCCGCTGAAAAAATCATGGATGGGCACGGTTATATCGCAGCCTTGTCACTTGGTGCTCAAGGTGACTGTCTAGGCACAAGGTGTGTGGCTCTTTGTACATGTTTGGTCAAGCTCGAATGAGTGTTTTGTTTGCGCTAAGTTAGAAGAAGCTTCGCTTGTCTTATTAGGTTTGTGGCGACTCATGAGAGCTATGCACACCCAATATACAGGAGGAGGTTAATTGAGTATGAGAAGACAAAGTACACAGATATCTTTGGATGAGAATGAGGTTAACCAGCCTGTTATTGGATGGGACATGTCTACATCCAACAACAAAGGTAACTTTTTAAAATCTCTTTGTGCTAGTTGTAGATGGGACATGTCTGCTTTGTGTTAATTTTAGGTCATTGATGGTTTGTGTTAGTTGTAGATCATTGATGGCGTGGAAGTTGTAGATCATTGATGGCTTAAAACACAAACAACTATCAAAACACAAAACAATACTTAATATGTTCTATATATTCAATTCTTAATCAGTACCTTAAATCTCTTAACCACAACTTCTCTTTCCTTCATCTGTTAACACACCACAAAGTTTAGAATATAGATTCTACGAATCTATATAGTTAAACACGGAATTTTGTTGACCTTTTACATAGTCAATAAGATAGTTTTTCGCCAGTGATATTAGTTCTATCAGAAGTCCCACTGGTTACTACTCAGTGTACTGATGATCCAAGCGTAGATGAAGACACACCTGCGGAGCGTAGAGAAAGAAGGAAATGGAAACCCATAGAAGATGTTGTGCTCATCAGTTCCTGGTTAAACACCAGCAATGATGCAGTTGTGGGAAACGAGCAAAAAGCAGTTACATTTTGGAAACATATTGCAGCTTACATTGCCTCAAGTCCTAAGCTTGTAGGTCTTCAAAAGCGAGAGCCTAGTCACTGTAAGCAAAGGTGGCAGAAGATAAATGATCTAGTCTGCAAGTTTGTTGGAGCCTATGAGGCTGCAAAAACTCAGAAAACTAGTGGCCACAAGGACAATGAGATTCTGAAGTTGGCTCACCAGATCTTCTACAACGATCACACAATCAAATTCAACATTGAGCATGCATGGAAGGAGCTTCGTAATGATCAGAAATGGTGTGCTTCTTTTGATACTAAAGCTGGTGAAAACTCAAAAAGAAGGAAGTGTGAGGATGGTGCTGCACAATCATCAAGCTCTCAGACAGTTAGACATGTTGAGGATGAAGCTATGGCTCGTCCTATTGGTGTGAAGGCAGCAAAAGGCAAATGTAAGAGGCGTATGAGCAAGACAAGTATGGTGCACAATGAAGCCACTTCTCTGGTGGATTTTCAGAGCATGTGGGCTATAAAAGAGAAGGACTTAGCCATGAAAGAAAGACTGTTAATGATTGGATTTCCTGACAGTCTCTTTGCTAAAAAAGGACCACTGTCTGAGATGAAAGTAGCTCTAAAGAACAAGCTAATCACTGATATGTTGTCAAATTAAGAAAACACTTGACAGTCTCTTTGTGTTAATGTAACTTGTCTTTCCTTGTTTCAATAAAATGATTTGAACTTTTGTTATCTTTGTTGTTGGAAACTTACTTTCCTTTTTTGAAAAATGATTTCACCTTCTCTGCAATCTTTCAAATTCAAAATCATCAGAAGCAATTTCTTCTACAAATAAAAAAAAAGATTAACTTCATAAAGATTTTTATCAGTTTAGAATGTTAAGATTATGTGGATGATGAAATGGCTATTTGTTTCAGAACACAAGGAGGGCAAATTCTTCTTTGGGTTGGCTACTGCACCTGCTCATGCGGAGGACGATCTCAATGATGATTGGCTCCAGTTTGCAAAAGAAACACCATGTTTGGCAGAAGATACTGCTGATAAAAAAGCAACGAGGAAGAAGGCTAAGCTTGTCATTGGAGCTATAACGAAAGGGTTGCAGAAGAACACACATGGCAAAGAAGATAAGTCTTTTGCACATAAGCCACCCACTAAAAATGTAGCTGTGTGGCACAACGCTCCTCACGCGTGAGCTTTCATTTATATATATATCTAGATATTATCACCTAGCTGTGTCTTAAGAGCTCAAACTGAGGTTTTTTTCAATTTGCTTTCAGGGAGGACATGCATAAATTTTGGTCAGAAACTGACAAAGAAGTGAACCTAGCAAAAAATATTGGCGTTACTGTCTTTAGGATGGGAATTGATTGGTCTAGAATCATGCCTGAAAAGCCTACCAAAGGGATTAAGGAAGCAGTGAGTCAAGAAAGCATAGACCTTCTTCCTGGATATGATTCTTGTAGATAAAAAGCGTCCTTACCATTGTGCTTTGCAGGTTAATTATGAGGCCCTCGAACATTATAAATGAATACTTAATAGAGTTCGTGCAAATGGGATGAAAGTGATGCTAACGCTGTTTCATCATTCATTGTCACCATGGGCTGCTGATTATGGTGGCTGGAAAATAGAGAAGACAGTCGACTACTTTATGGACTTCAAATTGAGCTCTATGGAGATTATGTAGGTCTTGTTCATCTTTATATAATGTGCCAGGCTTGTTGTGGATTCTATGTTCGATTTGGTAGACTCGTGGGTCACATTTAATAAACCCCATGTCTTCACCATGCTTGCATACATATGCGGATCTTGGCCCGATAACTGGGCTGTTCTTTACTATCAAAGACCATTTAACAGGAAAAGCTTTTGGATTCTCTGATTTAAAGCAGTATTTTTACATATTTTGGTTTCGGTTTAGGTTTAGTAGTAACCCATTGGATGGCTCCACTGCAATGGGTTACAAGGATCAAATGTAAATGGACAAAAAAAAAACATTTCTTATTAAAAAAGAATAGGATCAATTTTGTATTTTTTTTGTACCGACACCAATTTTGTTTGATAGTGTACACAACTTATTGCTTCGTCTTCTTGTACCGACACCAACTTTGTTTTGTTGTATCGACAAAATTGATATTTACTTTCATGTATTTTTTATTGTTTTATCTATCTAATTCTATATATTTGTCGACAAAACCACTTCTCTCTATCTTCAAACATCCAAACACACATATCACTTCTGTTTTCTATTTCTTTTGTTCAAAACATTCAAACACACAGAATCACTTCTCTTTTCTCTTTCTTTAATTTGTTACAAAAGAAAGTAACAACATAAATGACCTCTTCTTCTCATAATTCTTTCGAATTTGATGACCAATTTGATCAAGCATTCGACAATGTGTTCGACGGTTATGGTCCGCCTAAGAAGGCAACCAATTCGAAGAGAAAAAAGCGTATATAGAAAGAGAACATAAACAAGGCCACAACGCTTATAGAACGATTATTTCAGTGAAGATGCAACATACCTTGCTTCTCTAATCCGACGCTGTTTTAGAATTGAACAAGCCCTTGTTCATGAAAATAGTTGATCGACTCTCTAATGAAGTTCCATACTTTTAATAATAAGAGATGCTACTGGAAGGTTTGGTCTCTCCGGACTACAAAAGTGTACATCAGAAATTTGTTTGATAGCATATGGTTGTGCGTCGGACAAAATTGACAAATACCTCCAGCTCGGTGAAAGTACTGCGCTCTTATGCTTGGAAAATTTCGTGGAAAGGATAATATATTTTTTGGGGGATAAGTACCTAAGAAAACTCACACCAGATGATCTTTAATGGCTACTCGATATTGGAGTGGTATGTGTATTTTCCAAGATGATAAGGAGCATCGATTGTGTGCATTGAGAGTGAAAGATTTGCCCACCGCTTGGAAATGGCAATATACACGTGGCTCTGGAAAACCAACAATTCATTTAGAGATTGTAGCTTCACATGATCTTTGGATTTGGCATGCGTTTTTTAGACCTCTAGGTACCTTAAACAATATCAATGTTCTTGATCGCTCACCAGTTTTTGATGATATTTTACAAGATTGAGCTCTATCAGTGAATTAATTTGTCAATGGATGTGAATATCATTTGACTTATTATCTCACATATGCTATTTATCCGAAATGGACAATTTTTATCCAATCCATTCTAGTTCTACAAGGTCCAAAAGCATACTTATTTGCTACATATCAAAAATCAGTCCAAAAAGATATCGAGCGTACTTTTGAATTCTTGCAAGCTCGATTTACCAGTCAAAATCAAATTTGTGATAGAAAAATGCACCAATTGAAAGCGAAATTGATTAAACATATATGATAAAAAATTGACACAAATGAAAATTACAATTCAGCGTTCTTTTCCGTTTATAATTTGAAAATTTATATTTTAAATATTTTTATGTTATGTAGATATATTTTAAGTTTTATTAAATATATTATGGTTAAAATAAAATAATTATTAAAATATTTTTTTTTCTTAAGAACTTTTAGTGGGATTTTACTAATGGAACATAAAAAATTAAAAAAATTTAGTAAAATTCTTAAAAATAAAATAATAAAACAAATTATATTTTAATTAAAAACCCAATTTGGCTGAGATGGTCTAATGGAAAGAGAATGGAAAAAAAGATAAGCTTTTAATCTTTTATTATTCTGATAAATAAAATGAATGAAGACACATCCCGCTTTAGTTTAGTGTTGGGTTTATCGAAACGAAGATCTCTACGAAACATTGTCGGGATCCATTGTTGTGTCTCTTCAATTTTGGGTAAATCAAAAAGAGTTTACTGAGCATACTGATTCGAGTCTCGATTCATAAATGACCTCGAAGATCTTCAGGTGAGTTTCTGTCTGAAGCTCACTGTTGAAGCTACGGAACTTCACTGTTTCAGGGTTTTCTCTGTGTATGAGTTTTGATTCCATCTGATGGAGATTGCCTCTGTATGATAAAAAGCTCAATTCTATCGCAATTCAATAGCTGCTCTGTTTCTTGTTCCAATTGCGATGAGAATACTTACTCGATTGGAGAGATTTCATCATGCTGGCCTCCGTAGATTGCTGTTGGGGATCATCATCACCGTTGGTTTCGTTGTTCTACTTGTTCTCTGTTTCGGTATTCCCTGTCGAAATGCTTCTTGCTTGTCTCTTGTTAAGGTTTCAGGTATTGTAGTCTCTCAAGTTTCTGTGGTTAAAGCTGATGTTGATGATGATGGAAATGGTTATGGAGATGAATATGAAAAGGGCAAAATGAAGAAAGATTCCTCCTTGGATATCGAAAGAGAAGATGATATTGCAATTAACAATGTCATAGTAGAGATTAATGTCTCTGTTATTGCAAGAACAGATGTATCGTTGGGGAAGCCTAAAATGGCAGTTGAAAGTTCGATTTTGGTTGGGAGTAAAGATAGTAGAGAAGGTAATGTTTTATCTGTTATGAGACACAAGCAAGGTGCTGCAGTTTCTATATCTCAGATGAACTCATTGCTGATCCAGAGTCTTTCTTCTTCTCATTCTCCTGTAAGAATCTTGATTCTTGAAAATTCTTCTTTTTAAGCTTCAAGTAAGAATTTTGATTCTTGAAGTTCTCATTTTAAGCTTCAAGTAAGAATCTTGATTCTGGCAATTCTCATTTTAAGCTTCAAGTAAGAATCTTGATTCTTGATTCTGGAAGTTTTCATTTTCAAGCTTCAAGTAAGAATTTTGATTCTTGAAATTCTCGTTTTTAAGATTCAAGTAAGAATTTTGATTCTTGAAATTCTCGTTTTAAGCTCAAGTAGGATTCTTGAAATTCCCATTATAAGTTTTGAGTAAGAATTTTGATTCTTGACATTCTCATTTTAAGCTTCAAGAAACCGGATAATGTGAAAGTTCTTTTGCATCTTAACTTCCTTTTTGTTGGGACATTCTTGCAGAAGCCTCGCTGGTCATCTGCTCGAGACTCCGAAATGCTCTCTGCGAAATTCCAGATTGAGAATGCTTCTGTTGTGCATGAAGTCATAGGACTTGATGCTTCGGTTTATCGAAATATCTCCAAGTTTCAAAGGTAAGCTTTGACTATTCGTTTGTAATTGATGTTCTTGTACCTAATAAAGACTTAAAAAACTTTTGGTTTGTTAATATTTTGAGACTTTTGGAATGTTTGGAGTAAGGAGTGGTGATATATGTCAAAGACTCAAATGTGTTGCTTGTGTAGGAGTTACGACTTGATGGAGAGGAAACTCAAAGTTTATGTGTACAAGCAAGGAGCCAAACCGATATTCCATAAGCCAACACCTCGAGGAATCTACGCATCAGAAGGTTGGTTCATGAAACTCATGGAAAGCAACAAGAAGTTCGTAGTAAAAGATCCGAGGAAGGCTCATTTGTTTTACATACCCGTCAGCATAAAATCCCTAAGGACCTCTCTGGGACAGGATTTTCAAACACCAAAGGGCCTTGCAGACCATTTAAAAGAATATGTGGATTTGGTAGCACGAAAGTACAAGTTCTGGAACAGAACTAGTGGATCAGATCACTTTCTTGTTGCTTGCCATGATTGGGTACAATCTTTTTCTTTCTCTCCTATGAGTCAAGCTTTGAAAATCTGAAAAATGAGTAAAGACTAAAGAGCTGTTTGTATGTTGCTTTTCAGGGAAACAAGCTGACGAAGAAACACATGAGTAACAGTGTTCGAGCACTTTGCAACTCAAATGTTGCACAAGGGTTCAGAATTGGGATCGATACGGCTTTACCAGTCACATACATTCGCTCCGCAGAGTCCCCTATTGAGTACCGTGGAGGAAAAGATCCGTTAGAGAGGAAGATTCTTGCTTTCTTCGCTGGAAGCATGCACGGATATCTCAGACCGATCCTTGTGCAGCTTTGGGAGAACAAAGAGCCTGACATGAAGATCTTAGGTCCAATGCCTCGTGACCCAAAAGGAAAGAAACAATACAGAGAATACATGAAGAGCAGTAGGTAAGGTCAATGAAAAGCGTCTATAAACCGAAATGCTTAAACTGAAACCCGAATTGGAATGTGTTTAACTCTCGTTTCATCAGGTACTGTATATGTGCGAGGGGTTATGAAGTTCATACTCCTAGGGTTGTGGAAGCTATAATCAACGAATGTGTTCCGGTTATCATTGCTGATAACTACGTGCCTCCGTTTTTCGAGGTTTTGGACTGGGAAGCATTCGCGGTGTTTGTGAAGGAGGAAGAGATACCGAATCTGAGGAATATTTTACTATCGATACCGGAAGAGAGGTACATTGGGATGCAAGCAAGGGTGAAAATGGTACAGCAACATTTCTTATGGCACAAGAAACCGGTGAAGTTTGATTTGTTTCATATGGTTTTGCATTCAGTTTGGCACAGCCGAGTTTATAGGGTTAAAACCAGGTCTAGGCATTGAGTTAGTATATGTTGGAGATCTTGTAGTAATGTAGTTATTACCATTCTCCACTTGTAAAGATGAGTTTAGCTACAAGCCTACAACCCTCGAATAAAATTGGCTTAAAGTAAATTCAAAGCTTTGTAGTATTTGCTCATTTGGTACAACCATTGATCAAAAACGCTTAGGAGACTATCATCTTGTTTTGATCGTCTTAATTAGGATTCACCTGAGAATAAAAAAGAACGACTCAAACTTTCTATAATACTGACTTCTAATTTGATTTCATAAACTAAGTTTAGACTATTTTTGATGATTATCACAAAGCAAAGTAACAAAGAATTTCCAACCTAAAGAAGAGATTGCTTTCTTTCACTAATATATTGATCTTTGTACTGATGTATTGCTTTCAATTTTTCAGACAAGTATAATGGTTTTTTAGATATGGAAACCTTAGAGTTCACTCAACAAAATTTGTCAAGAAACTCATTTGTTCATCTTAGTCTCATCCAGTGGCTTCTCAATACCTTTTTGATGCAAACACATGTTGTTTTCATACATAAGCAACAATCCAAAATAGAGAACATAGGCTAAACCACCAGAGTTGAAATCCTTAGCTCAGAAACAAAAGGAGGTATTGCATTTAAATAAAACCGATAAATATGTATAAGATGCTGCTGCGATCACAGAGGCATTGCATCCAAAAAAGGAGAGCTCGAAAAATATTAGAGTAGATATAACTAAATTGCATCCATGATCAAAGAGGTAACCTCACGCAACAGGTTTAGCTTTTGCTTCACACATTCATCTTTCTTGGCCTTCAACATCTCTTCAATTTCTTTACATTCAAGTTCATTGGTTTGCAACAACTTCATCTTCTCTTCGGTTTTATTCTTACTCTCGGTCGGCACTTTGGTCCATATATCTTTCGCAGAACCAACACCAAGAATCTCAATAGATTGAACAAAAAAGGATTTTTCAAACCATTCAGATTATTATCGTCCATTTTCTCTGTCCTCTCACTCTCCTTTGATTCTTCATCTTCTGTAGTAATCTTCTTGGCTCGCTTCGAGTTCACGTTTCTTGAGGTCTCTTCACTTGGCCGCTTCGTCCCTGATTTAACTGTCAGTGAACCACAAACCTCGGTCTTCTTATAACTAATCGGTGGAGGATCTTCGGGTTCGTCTTCTTCCGAAGAAAGGATGGTATGCTGGTCTTCATCTTCTTCTTCTTCCTTGCTGCAGCTTGAAGATGCAGACGATGGATGTTCATGGACCACGAACCTCCGTTTTCTTGGAACTCGTCCGTGTAGGATCTTCGGGGTGTCTTCTTCCTTGGTGTAGTAGCTTGGAAAAGAGTACGATTGCTTGAGATTCTTCTCTGCCATCGGAGTGTGATTGATTTAGTTTCTATGGGTGGTGAAGCTTTTGGGAGGTTTGTGAATATAAAAACGTTCCAACTTACGATGGAGACTGTTCGGTTTTCCAATGTTATAATACGATGACCGTTGACGTTTCCCAAACAAAAATATTAGGGCTTGTTGAAGACATTTCCGTTTCCTGATACTATGTGGCGAAATAATATTCACTGTTACACATAATTTCTGGAGTACTATATAAACTCGGTAACCCAAAAAAAAAACTCTAAGAAGTTGAACTTACACGAAAGATTAAGGAAATAGTCGCAGATAATAAATCAGACAGCAAAAAAAGACAGATCAATAATCAGATCCGCTCAGAGACAGAACCAAATCGTCATCTTGATCCTCTGCAACGTTCTCACCATCATCACAGTACTTACATGTCATAGAAGGTCTCGGTAAATGCAAAACATGATCAATCCTTTTCTCAATCCAAGCCAATCTTCTCTCAAAGCTCAAAACACCTCTATGCATATTCCTCGCATCAATCTCAGCGACACGAGCACAAACACGCAAAAGGATGTAGTAATCAGCGTGAGCAGGGTATATCAATGCTCCATCTTCTTTCTTCCTCATATATTGAAGATACCCTTGTCTCTTTACCCTCACACGAGGCGGTATGTAACGGAAAAAATTCTCTCCCATGTCTCTTAGTAGTCTTCTCATCGCTCTCTCTTCTCGATTATGATGATTATCTGGTGATGAAACACATTCTAAAGATGGCTGCTCATCAAGTTGCATTGACCCTGTTTCGCTTCTTCTTGAAGGACTGTTTCCATCACTTAGCTTGTCATCATCGTTCAAGGAAAGTTCTCTAACTTCTAAATCCTCATCGTCCTCCCAGTATCGTCTCCTCTTGGATGGAGTCATCAATCGTTCGAATTCCTACGAAACGCCGTGTAAAAGAGAACTAATCTTAACATAACATTCCATACTAGCAGAATCCGAAACAATGAAATGCGCAGGTTTTTACCTCGTCTCTCGGGTCATTATTCCACAGATTATCAACAGTTCTGTACGTGTCATCAACTGATGCTTCTGCTAAACCAGCAAAAAGCTCGCTTTTCCCGTGAGATAAGAATGACAAAAGATCCTTTTCATATTCTGCAAAACCAAAACGAGATTCAGGAAAAGGTTAGAATCTCTACTCATCGAGGGCAAAAGATAACTCGTCGGTAAAAGGATTTTACCATCGGTTTCAGCGACCACCTCGTAATATTTAGTTTCAAGGTTCTTCAGAAGCTCCTCAGTGTCAAACTCAGTGACATTTGGTAACTCTGCATTTTCTGAAACCTCCTCATCATCATGTATCGGAGATTCAGTAGCAACATCAACCGAATCTCTTAAACCTCGTTCCCAAACACCGAAACCATTGATGTTATAAAGCATCCGTATAGCTACAATCAGAATAGACATGACACAGACACGAGTGGGAAGCCTGTGCTCGTTCTTGGACAGATACAGCTCCGGAGGCATTGACCAGCTCTGTATAAGACGAACCAGAGCAAGAACCTTATCCTCGGGAACAGACAACAGCTTTAGATAGTTCGAAGCTATACCATAGAAATTAACAGGAGACAGATGCAAACCGATAGTATCAGCAATGGAGGCTGCTCTTGCTTCCAACACCTGAGCAGAGACGATGTGATCAGGCCTAAACATTACGCTTGCTTCCACTGGACAAGCAGCTGATCTCTCTCCCATCTGTTCTTGAATCTTGAGAAAACATGATTGATACGGAACCTTTCCTTCTCTTGCCCATCTCACTATATCAGTGGGTAGAACAGGTGCTTTCGCGTGGTGACAAGCAAGAAAAGATATAGCTAGAGAGCTTGATAATGGCAGAGAGTTTCTAAGCTGACTTAACCATATCGTCACTGCTCTTTTACCATCTAAGCTACGAGGTTGGTCTTTATCTTTGTCTCTGTTACGCCTCTTAGTCTCTCTTACTTCTCCATTAGTCTCTTGCATGTCTACAAAATTGAAGATAAAAAAACGAAATCAAGCAACGAAATCTTCAAAACACGATTTCTTCAATCGATTATTCTACCTTGTGATTGAAGCTCGGAATCATTAATAGAATTATCGGCCCAATCATCATCGTAGACGCCGGAGAGAGCAACGAAACGTAAGCAGATGGGTGCGACCAAACCAACAATCAATGGCGTCACATCGAATTTGTCCACCAAAGCATCGCACTGATAAGTTATCATCATCACGAGACCATTGACGTATCTATCTCTCGTCTGTTTGTAATAGTCCTCGTAGCTCAGAGCTTCTGATCCCGCTGCTCCGAAATCATCAGGCTCCATTGGGATCGCGGATTTGAGCTGAGAGCGAAATTGGGAGTAACGATCTGTTTCCTGTGTGTATCTAGGCTGTGAAGGAGTAGCCATTGATTGCGATTGTACACGGCGAGTCTGGCTCGGTTGATAAGTCGCGCCGCGAGTGCCTCCCTTGTCTCCGATGAGATCGTCGTCGTCGACGCCGGTTGCGATTACATCGTCGACTTGGACGCCGCATTGTTGGCAGACGAAATATCCGTTTACTTCTTCAAATTCTTCGTTGTCGCACTCTTTGCAAATCATCGTGTTGGGCTCCATGATTGATTGTGTGAGCAAGAAAGAAATGGGGATAAACCCTAAATCAGGTTTATGAAGAATAAGCAGACGAAGATGATGTGAAAATGGCGTTCAAACTCGGAAAATTGGATTATTTAGGGCCTGCTTTAGGCCTGTTTGTGTTTTGGGCCTTCTTAAGGCCTGTTTTGGTCTGATTGTTGTTAAGACAGTTTTGAGATGAATCTGCTCTGCCGTTGGTTCCAGAAATCCCTCATCTCAACTCTCAAGCACATACTTTGGTTTCTTTCTCAGTTCAGAAAGCAAACAACTTCTTTTCTTAGTCACCTAAGTACACATAATTGAACTTTTCAGCAACAAAACTTAGGCTTCCTTGCTGAGATATCTCCATAAACTGTTGTCTTCTGTGTTCTTGAGAGAGATTTGATTTAATTAAGTATTTCTTTCCCACTTGAATCAGAATCTAGGGAACAAGAAACATAGAGCGAGAGAGAGAGAGAGAGAGATAGAAGGGGGCAAAACACAACTAAACACTTAGTGTTTGCTTTTTGGCCTTTTGCTATACAATTTTTGCTATTTTTCAAGCTGAATCCAACACAATAGGATCAACAATAGAAAATATTTCTCTCTATGTGTTTGCATGAACATGTTTTTCAAGAAAAGCCTTAGCCAAGTTACTAAAACTTACACTAACCGTTTCAGCTGCTGCGTACCTCTGGATGAGTTCAACCACTTCTTCTCTCACAATCTCCTCCCTTGTTGCTCTGTTATAGTCACACATGTAATACAAAGCCCCCAGCGCGTAATTCACCTATATCCGGAAACAAAACAGTGTTTTTAGTTTCCATTTTAAACTCCAGAGGAGCATCAACGAGGCGTGTGTGCTCACAGTGTTCCGCACAGGGCTTGATAAACATTTTATTATAAGAGAAATCCCATCAGCCTCGACGATGATAGCAGCATTTTTGGGCTCTGCACATTAATAAGATGATCAGTAATATTGCAACTATGGCAAAAACCGAAGTATATTCGCATATTAAAGGCTTTTTTACCAGCACAAGCGTTGCATATTCCTCCTATACCGAACTCTACAAGCTTCTCGTTTGGCTCTGTTATACAGTCTATGAATAGTTCCAATACATTTAGCTGCTCCAGTACACAATCAAGATATTTGAGTTCTGCATGTAAAATAAAAGAAACATGAGCAAACTCGAAGGTTACCTGACGTAAAATGGTGTAGTTGTAAGGATCATAGGCAAAATTCGCCAAGTTTGCGACAATTCTCTCCTTCGTTTCTGCAGGTGCAAGAGAGTAATCGTGTTATACGAGACAAAACCAGAGATATACTATGTTAGGCTTGCTTAACAATAGAAGCATCAAAATTGCCATAAGGCAGAAGTAAGTATTGGTGTTGGATGATATACAGAACCCAAAATCTCAATAAAAAGACACCAAATGTTAACGTTTTTGCAGGGTTTACATGCGCTACAAAGCCTATGAAGCAATGTTCGTTCAGATTAAACCATCTTATACCTATGTACAGAGTCCTTAAATTCATACTGCAAATCAGCAATGTGTGTAGACTCAGCTTTTCACTCAAGATTGTCAATAGATGTAATAAAATCAAGAAAGCACCAACGCAAGAAGCATGGACAGATTACTTAAAGAGGGTCGATTAAAACCAAACTACTCATACCTTCATCAGTCGCATTCTGAAACTGACTCACAAGCTCCTGCAATTATAAAGGGACAACAATACTTTTTAGATTCCCACAAAAACAAATATTTAACAGACCAAACTCAGATACACTATCAGGTTCTACACAAAACTCAGCCTATCCCTTTTGTATTTCAGGTCATCTCTATGAGAAAAACATCGATGCATAATGTTTCAAACAACTTCCAAAAGAAATTTTCCAAAAGACCAAGAAGTAACCATTATTAACATAAATAGCTCATTTTGAAGAAGAAGTACACACATTCATACAATTTCCCAATTTGCCAGAATCTCTAAACAGTAGAAAATATTAAAAGATTCCAAAACAGATTCCTCAAAAACAAAAGAGCAACCTGTAGATATTGAAGCCTTGGTGTTCCGTATTTTCCAGTACGCTCTTCTTGTCTTTGATTATTAGTAAACATTCTCACTACTCTACAAAAGACTCTCGTATCTTAATAGGCAGACGAACTATTTCTTCTGCAATTTTAAGATCAAAGCTATAAAAAAATCAGAAGTGAATATCGTTAGTGAAAACTATAATTATTATACGCAACATGTTTCTTCCTCTAAGCCATTTTTGCTCATTTGCCCAGAAAAGTCATAGACAGAGTTGCAACACCGAGAAACAACTGAATGTGACTCTTCTTGATATACAAAGTGTAACAAAATTCAAAATCATATAAAATCTAACATGTTACATCAAAGCTGCGAATGTTCAAAACTATCGGAGGGAGAAAAATTTAGCTCGTTTCAGTTGCAAAGCTGAGAAAAAAATCTCTTTTTAGACATTTGATCAAACACATTGTCTACAGGATATTCCCCTGTCCAATTTCAATCTCACTAGCATCACGAATCAATTATGCAAACTCTAAAATCAAACAATTAGTGATCCAACAATCAAATTTCGCAATTTCTGAGGGCAAACTCTAAGCCGGGTTACAGTAAGAGAGGAGCCTCTATGTTCCTGAATTGTGATATGATCTCGAGATTACCTGGTTAGATTTTCTCGAAGATCCTCGAATCGAAGAGAAGTGAGCGATCTTATTTAGAAAATCAAGAAAAGCAAAACGCAAAATCAACGAGTCGAGTAGTAGAGATTATGACGAGAAATCGTCTACAATGCTCCTCTCGCTTACTTTTATTAACCTGCAATGCTCCTCTTTTAATTTAAAAGGATTTACAAAAAATAAGATAAATAGAAAAAAAACAGATCAAATCTAATAAAATTATCATTTGTACCTGAGTTTAACCTGAGAAAATTCAGATTCTTCGATGAATCGGATTTGAATCCGGTTTAGACCCGAAAATCTCTCAAATATTTTGGAATTCTTTCAAATATTTCAAAAATATCAAATCATCTCTCTTTCATACTACTGAATTGTCGAGTCGCAACTGTCATTTCACTGAAACCGGAGAAAAAACCCTAACGCAGCGGTAGAAAAAGAGAGAATCGACGGAAACAAACGATGCCAAAGACGAGAAAAATGCATGAGGAGAAACCGAGCAGTCAGAAGCCAGCGGCGAAGAAGCGTAAAACAACAAAATCGGGAACGACATCTCGAACGACGGAGGAGATTCCGGGTGGAGAGGATCCTCCGATTGTCAAAGCACAAATGACGGAGGGGGTTTTGATTCCGGCTCGAGAGGCGACTCCTCCTCCTCTGATTGTTGAAGCAGAAACGACGGAGGCGGGTAACTCCTCCGATGGCCGGAATCCTGTAAGTTAATTATCTCCTTCTCCAACTCTTTAGCATTTTGATCACAATTCTCAATTCTCAATTGTCGGAAATTGTAAAACTAGGATAATTAGGTAATACTAGCATGTTGGTAAAACTAAGAAAACTTGGTAAAAATAGTATTATGTTGTAATATTCTAAGTTTGGTATTAATATTGTATATATGTTACAGGGTGCATTTGAAGAGACGATTGCTATGCGACCAGACATGTACTTGAAGCCTGATCAGTATAGCAAGACCATTAAACTACCAACACGGTGTTTCGTCCAAGAAGTTATGGAGACGTTTGAGAAAGTGGATCTGACTCCGACGGAAAGAGAGTGGTTTGAGCAGCATCCGCAGTTCTGCCACATTCTTCACATGCCGAAGAGCAATCATATGGTTCAACCATTGTGGATGTTGTTGCTGCGTACTGCTAGGATCGAAAGGGAGAAGGAGGCTTGGTTTGTGGTGAATTGCGTTCCCATTCGATATGGGTTACGAGAGCATGCTATGATCTCAGGACTCAATTGCAGCAACTACCCTCTCTATTGGAATAAAAAAGGCAACTCTTACTTGAAGCAAAAGTATTTTCTAGACAAAAAGAAGGTTTTAAGGGAGGATGTGAAGAAAAAGCTTAAGGAGATGGGCCCGGATGATAGTGAAGATAGGCTCAGGATGGCGGTGTTGTATTTCTTGAGCAGCATCATCTACTCTCCCACCAAAACCGGAGACAGTGCAAAACCCATGCTCAATGTATTTTTAAAATACGCTGATGATTTGGATAAGTGTAAGACATTTCCTTGGGGGAGATTGTCTTTTGATCGCATCTTAGAGTCTATTTTGGATACGATGAAGCACTTTGTTGAGAAGGGGTTGGGCAATGCATGGTCGTTTCCTGGTTTTTGCATTCCATTGGAGGTAAAAGATTGTCTTTTGCATTGTTTTCCTTTTCATTTTAAGATTTTCTATTGCAGGTAAGTCTAATTATATGCGTATGTTTGTAGCTTTTGGCGATGGAGGCCATTATGCCACTGAGACAGAGCTTCCGAGAAGCTGTACCAAATCCTAGCGTCGATTGTCCGAGGATGTGCAGGTCCAAGTGGAAGAAATTTGACCTGAGAGGCTGGCCACTTGAGACTGTGTATCAAAAGCTCGGATGCGAGAACAAGGTTAGTAGTCATTGCAGATTTGAAAAAAAAAACAATGAAACTTGTTACCATTGGTTGTTTAAATGTGTTTAACTTGACATGACATTGACAGTGTGCTGATAGCTTCGGAGGAGGAGAATGCGATGTTGGATTTGATAATGAAAACGGAGGACGATGTTGATGAGCACGATCCTGTTATGGAAAGTTGGGAAAAACGTATTGATAATGGATTGACGGTTGTGTTTGAAGACATGAAGGAGGAAGATGTGAAAGGGCGAGAAAAAATGGTGGAGGAAAGAGCAAGGAAAAAATCCCGAGCTAAGAAAATGTCTTTGGAAGATGTCGTTAGCGCGATGGGTTTGCTCAACGACACCATGACAGAGCAATTGGGTTTGCTCAACAACATCGTCTATAAAACTGATGACAGGATAAATCCACTTGAAGACTATGTGAAAGCGAGAAAGGATTCAGGCTCTTGAACAAGATAAATCGTCTACTTTGTTTTTATATTTGGTTGAACTTTCTTTTGATTTCGAACTAGTATTTTGTCTTTATTTGGAACTAGTACTTTGTTTTTATTTGGAACTAGTACTTTATTTTTATTTGGAATTAGTACTTTGTTTTTATTTTCGATCTCGGATGAACTATGTTTTTAATTTGAATTATTGAATTCCTGTATTATTAGGTAAAACTAGTCGTAGTAAGTGTTGCTAGAAAAATAAATACTAAGAAAAGTTAGTAATACTAGGTAATACTAACATTAGTAATACTAATTAAAATATCATTGATAACTTAAGAAAATACAAGCAAAATGGAAACGTTACTCTTGAACAACAATTAAAACAACAATTAAAGGAACAATTAAAACAACAATTAAAGGAAATTGCAGATTCGTTAAGTCTTGAGCTTGGCTATCTCTTCGGCTTGGATCTGAATCTATTTTCTCATTTCTTCAATCGTCTTGCTTTGCTCTTCAACTTTCATAACTAGCTTCTCAATCTCTTGTTCGACTCCGAAAACCCATGGCTGACGAAAGTGGAGTCCATCATCCTAGCAAAAAAACAAAAAAAGAGCAACATCCATTATAGTTATACCTAGTATTCCAAGTTTTACACCCGCAGAACATCTAAATAGTTTAACCTAGTTTTACTAGTTTTACCCAGAAAAAACCCAGATCTGAAATTATAGAGATTATACCTTAAATTTGGTGCAGGTGAAGTACCTACTGCCTGGTTGAGTATCGAAATCGTGTTTAAATTTTGGAGAAGGAGATACATCGTGCTTGATAGATCCACCACGTGGAAATCTTCTCAGAATCCCATATTGGCCGTCGGCGACAAATCCAACCATGTCCCAATGCTGCTTCATCTTCTCCATTTCCTTGCGGCACCTCTTCTCTTCCTTCAACTCCTCCTCGTATGGGTCGATGAGGAAATTGTCCGCGTAGTGATAGCTATCCGAATCCATTTGTAGAGAGAGATGAAAGATCAATTTTAAGAGAGAGAGAGAGATCGATTTTAAGAGAGAGAGGGAGAGGAGAGGATGAGAGAGAGAGATGAGAGTACGGTTTTAAGAGAGAGAGAGAGATCGATTTTAAGAGACAGAGAGAGGTTCGAGAGTTTGTAATGAAACTCTGAATTTTAGATTAGATCGATTTTTTTTGAAAAGTACACTCTCCTGTGAAAAAAATTCAATTTTCCGCCGAAAAATTTAATTTTCCGCCGAAAAATACACATAGTAATACCATATTGTCAGTTATACAGAATCTTGAAATAGTACTACACCACCTAAAACTTATATTACATCACCTAAAACTTATATTTTCTAGTATTACAGTTTAATTATATGGTTTTACATATGAATATCATTGTCCTATGCAACAATAAGTTTGAATATGGTATATTTGTACCATTCACTTAGCAAGTTGGTTCTCCATAAGAAAGTGTTTCTTAAAGTATAAGGGAATGTTAAAGATCGATATTAGAACTCTGGTGCCATGATATATCATGGTTTTTGCTGGTTTTTGACCATGATATAAGTCCTGTTTATAGAGTCTTTTTGGTATTTTTCGAGTCCTATAGAGTCTTTGCAGGTTTAGGTACGAATGGAGCATAATTGTGGATTCTGGAACCTTTTGGAGCTATACTGAAGCTGTTGCTGAAAAGACCAAGTCGGAGGACATTAAAGAGCTAGGTGTCGATCGACACCCACCTCTTGGTGTCGATCGACACCGGTCGTGGTTGCGAAGAAGCGTTAAATCTCATTAGAAGAAATTGCAACTTGGCCCAGAAGTTTCCCACTATTTGCACTTTTGCTCCAGTTCGTGTTTAGACTTGTATTTAGGTTTTCTAAGCCACTGTTAGACAGATATTCTGAGAATTATTGAGACAAAGAGAGAGATTAGATTGAGAGCTTTTGGGGAGACAAATCCATACTCTGTAGAGAAGAATTTCGAACCCCTTTAATCTTTTACTCTATTTTCTTAATGCAATATTATTCAGTCATGATTTGTGTTTCACCTGCTATGTCTGAGTAATCTGCTAGTTAGGTTTTGGGTTATTCAAAGGTTGATAATGAAATGTTAGAACTACAAAACTGGAAGGATAAATCATTTGGTTCTTCATCTTGATTGCTTTAATACTGGTTTTAAGATTGATCACCTAGAAATCAGATCTTAGGTTGTTTAATAGATGTGGAAACATTATTAATCACCAGAACTATCTTAGATGAGCAAAATAACTAGTTGCAAAGGAATTTGGATTAGTGGTTTTGTGAACTTATCGAACCTGATCTATAATGCATGTTTATGTTGTTAGAATTTGCAAAGGAATTTGGAATTCTGGAATCTGATCATAGTTAATCTCTGCGACGGAAGTCGATTGGTTTTACACTAGTGTTTCGAGTTATAGAACGGTTTTAATAAATATTCCTTTCAGTCTGTGGTCTCGATTTATGTCAACCTGCGAATTTCCCATTGCCTAGCGCTTGTCTCTATTGATTTTAAGAACCAACAACCATCCTGATCTCATTGACTTCACAAATATTTAGTTTTATTTTATCATCTACTGTTTAGGATTATTTGAATCTAAAATCTGTTGAGTGATAGTCTCAAGTCCTTGTGGATTCGATCCCTAAGTACTACCGTGATCTCTTAATTTCAGAGAGTAGCTCTAAGGGTTAATTTGAGCATATCAAATTTTGGCGCCATTGCCGGGGACTTAGATATCGCTTTCAGATTTTTAGTATTAGAATTTTGACTAAGTTTTTACTTTCTGTTTACTAACTTCTTTCACTTTTCTGTTGTCTGTTTCAGGTGCATGCATAATCGCAGTACCAGGAGCAACAAAGACAAAGAACTTGTGACTTTAGGCATCGACGAACTCGCCAAGCTAGAGAGAACCATCAGGAAAGCCAAAAAGCAGACTAAAATGGTTGGACCACTTGTTCTGAGGACAGATGCTGAAGGTCATTTAGTTGACAGAGAAGGGAACAGAGGGAATGAGGATGGGCAGAGGATAGATGACAATGGCGTTGTAATTGAGGAGCAGAATGTACAACAGCAAGCTGCTGGAGATGCTGTTGGGCATCATCCACAGAGGACTCTGGGAGATTACAACAGGCCAGATCAGTTCTATGCAAATAGAGCTGCAATCCGCCCACCTGCCTTTCAGAGGAATGGCTTTGAGCTGAAACCCAGTTACTATCAGCTTGTAAGTCAGCATCCTTTCCATGGGCTTCCACATGAACACCCAATAGACCACATTGAGAAGTTTGGAGACCTGGCTTCAAGTGTTAAAGCCAATGGAGTCACCAATGACTTCTTATTCTACAAGCTTTTCCCTCACTCTTTGGAAGGAGATGAAGCACATTGGCTCAAACAGCTGGCACCTGCTTCTTTGACTACATGGGAGGACACTAAATCTGCTTTCCTCAACAACTTCTATGATGATGCAAGGTCAGAAGAGTTGAGGAGAAATATCACCACATTCTCCCAAGGTCCAACATAAGCTTTTAAAGCAGCATTGGTTAGATTTAAGCTGTACCAAAGGGACTGCCCACATCATGGATTTAATGAAGTACAGCTGCTGGGAATCTTTTTCAGAGGTGTTGACTGGAAATACTAGATAGCTCTGGATGCAGCAAGCAATGGGAACTTCAACACAAGAGTCCCAGCTGATAGAGAACCTAGCTTCCAGCAACAGCACAAAGAATGCTGATTTTGAGAGACAGAAAAATGCTGGGGGAGCAGGAAGTAGTCAGTTTGTTGCTGAGATGAAAGCCAAGTTGGACTCTGTGCATAAGAAAGCCAAGTTGGACTCTGTGCATAATCTCCTGGTTGGGAAGAAGTCTGTTCAGTTTGCTGCTGAGGTTGAGACATTTGAGCCAGTTGAGGAGTTTGAAGAAGAAGATGTCAACTACATCAATGGAGCTGGTTTCCAAGGACAAAGGTACAACAATCAGCAAGGAAACAGAGGATTCAGTGGGAATATGCAGAGAAACAATTTCACAGGAAACCAGAGTTCTACTGGCTACACTCACAAGCCTCAGTTTCAGAAGTCTGAGTACCAAAAGCCTTATCAGAACAACAACTTCAACAGGAACTATGGTTCCTCATCCTATCAGCCTGTACCAGCACCATCAGCTTCAAGCAAAATGGAAGCCATGCTTGAACAGTTGCTAGAAGGTCAGCAAAAGATTACAGTTGATTTCAATGGCAAGATTGACGCCCTGTATCAAGATTTGAATGGGAAAATCGAAGCTCTGAACACCCATGTGAAGACTTTGGATACTCAAGTGGCTCAAACTGTTGGGGCTGTGAAAAGACAGGATGGATGCCTTCCAGGAAGGACAGACACCAATCCAAGACACTCTGTTAACGCCATTACGCTGAGGAGTGGAAAGAATCTGCAACCAGTGCAGAAAAAGGGCTTTAATACAGAAGGTTTCGAGCAGCTGCAGGAGTTTGATGATGAAGATTTCGAAAATTTCGAAGAGTGTCGATCGACACCAACCCCTCAGTGTCGATCGACACCAGAGAAAGTTCGCGACTCCTCGACTCGAAGCGAACGGATATCGACCAAGGTCGACAAGCTGCCCGACACAGGATCGACACCACTCTCAGGAACCAGTGTCGATCGACACACACCCCCTGGTGTCGATCGACGCCCACCACAGAAGCAAACTCCGAGTTCTCAGACTCCAGAAAGTGTAGAAGAAAGGGTCTACAAGCCAAAGGTGCCTTATCCAAGGAACCAGAAGAAGTCTAAACAGGAACTGGAGGATGCTAGGATCAAAGCTATCATGGATAACCTTGTGGTTGAAATCCCTTTGATAGATGCTATAAGGATCACACCTGTGATAAAGAGATATGTGAAAAAGGATGATGACCAAGAATTTGGGGCTGGAACAAGGAACAATGATGATTTCAGAGCAAGTGAGTGCAATGATTCAGAATAAGATACCAGAGAAGCTGACTGATCCTGGGAGTTTTGTTCTGGATTGCACAATCTTTTCTGAGAGGTTTGAGAGGTCATTATGTGATCTAGGGTCAAGTGTCAACCTGATGCCTCATTCAGTTGCTGTCAGTTTAGGCATGACCGACTTCCAGCCAACCAGAATATCTCTCATCCTAGCAGACAGGTCTGTAAGGATCCCTGAAGGCATTTTAGAAGATGTACCAGTCAAAGTGGGAGACTGTGTGATTCCCACAGACTTTGTGGTTCTGGCTTATGGTGAAGAACCAAAGGATCCCTTGATATTGGGAAGACCATTTCTGGCTATTGCAGGCGCCATCATAGATGTCAGGAAAGGGAGAATTGCCCTGAATGTAGGCGATTTGGTGATGCATTTTGACATGGACAAGTTGATGCAGAGACCAACAATAGATGGCCACACATTCTATGTGGACTCTCTCACCAGTCTTGCAGAGGAAATCTTCCAAGAGATGCATCCTGCAGACTCTTTGGAGAGGGCATTGACAATTTCTGCAGAATCAACAGAACATCTTGACAACATTGCTGCTGGGTATGTCAAGATGATGGATTCAAATGAGCAGGTTATGCAGCTGGTTGCACAACAAGAGCTGTTTGGGACATCTGTAAAAGCTGCAAAGCAAGGTGATTGGAGTGAAGAAAAAACTCCCAAAATCGAACTCAAACAGCTTCCTGCAGGTCTAAGGTATGCCTTTCTAGGACCTAACTCTACTTATCCTGTCATAGTTAGTTCTACCTTAAACAATGCAGAGCTCACCTTACTGCTAAGCAAGCTGCGCACTTTTCGCAAGGCTCTTGGCTATTCTCTTGATGACATTTCAGGTATCTCTCCAGAGTTGTGCATGCACAAGATACATCTTGAGGATGAGTCGAAGTCGTCAATCG